ATATTAGTCCCTATTTCCTAGGATTGTCAAGAGGATTAAGTGAGTAAATGAATATAAAATGCATATTTTCTGTAATTGCCGCTCTTATCTTCACCCACATTGATTGGGAGCCATGTCAACACACTCTTGAGCCCACAAGACACGGCAATGTGTTAGGTGTTTGGAGCTTAAATATTAAATAAGCATAGCTATAGTCAAGGAACTTATAAGCCAACAGGAGATAAGCTCAACATGTAATCAACAGAGAAGTACATGGGGAGTTAATATAGCAAAACATTTTTCCAAGAAAATTAGCCATTTCTGGTTGATGTATCACCCTCTTTCTTTCTCCAATAGCAGAATCTTGTCAGGCAGCCAGAGGGACAGGTGGCACCAAATCACCGTTCTTGTCACCCCTTCCACCCACATACCCACCTCCTTTAACTACTGATATGTAGAGCCTAGCGAGTCAGTGCAGAGGTGGGGAGGGGGTAATTTGCATAAGGATCCTGGGGGCTTTCTAAGATTCAAAGTTTTTTAATCATGTCTGGAAGTACCCAGGTGGCATGAGTGGAGGTACAATGGGAGGGAGGAGGGCAGAAAGAGGCAGGAGCAGTGAGCAAGAGTTGGAAGGGGAAGGAGTTTGTGAAGTCAGGGCCATAAAGTGGCCGGACTCCAAAAGTGGCCCCTTTCAGCCCTTTGGGTGACAGATCTGCATGCCCAGAAGTGGCCATGTGTGTGACCACAGCTGAAGAACTGCGTCTGTCCGTAGAGCACCGTAGCAGTGGGGACCCAGGTCTGCCTGGTGAGAGTACCCAGATGTGAGCCTTACTTTTGGAAGAAGTTCCTCTTCTCACCCACTCCTGAGAAAGTATTGGCGGCTCTCATCATGGAACCAAGGGTGTGCCTGGGCGGCCATAGCAACTGCGGAAGAAAGACAAGATCAGTGGGGGACATATCTCAGTCACCATAGTGAACTAAGGGTCCACTGGAGACATAGCAGAGCACCGGTCACAGAGATTGTGTCCCTCAGCACCCCTCCCCCACTGTTTTCCATGTTAGGAACTAGAGCTGCCCCGTTGGTCCTCAGTGGCTCCTGGCTTCTTGGACTTCCTACAGGAGGACAGGAGGAGCAACCCTGGGGTGAGGTAAGCTATGACTCACCTGCCTGCACAGACTGGGGGTAACTTTTGCAGCGCACGTGTTCAACTTGAGGCACAGTCTGCTAGACCAGTATTCACATTCTGAATGGCATGTGCACAATTACGAATGACATTAATGACAATGAGGGCCCAGCTGGCTCCCCCTAGCAACATGTGGCCAGCCTTGAGCTGTGGCAGTTCACTCACCTCCTGTAAGCCCTTTCATGCCCTAAACCTTGCACTTCCAGAACATGGCAATCTAGCCAGATGCAGAAGGGTGGGGGAAGGAAGAGGGCCAAAAGCTGAGGGCTGTCAACTTCCAGGTGGCAGTGATTTACATTGACCTTAAAGAATCTTCTTTATGAGCACGTGTGCAATAGATTTTAATGCAAAACTTTTGCCCTCCTCAGCTGATGGTGTCTTGACTTATCACAGAGGAGAAGCAGTGTCAAAGATGACGTGCAGAGGCTGTTTATGAAGAGTCTGTACCCATTCGTGAGTGAAACAAAGATGAATTGGCCCATAGGGCTTCTCCAGAGTGATTCAAGCCTACCGCCGTACAAGTATTGTGAAAAAGGTGATGGCTATTACTTAAAATTACAATTTTCCAAGCATTGTGTAAACATATTATTTGCCTCACCTCCTTTACTTCTTAGATGCTATTGATGGTCTTAACATTACAGGTGAGTAAACTGTGAGGTTAAGTAAATTTCCCAAAGTCACAGAGCCACCCTATGAAGTAGGGACTCTGATTATTCCCATTTTACAGATGAGGAAACTGAGGCAAACCTGGGGTTTGCTTCTGGGTCCTCCTGACTCCAGATCCCAAGCTTCCAACACTGGGATTTACTGTCCGCATGTGATTACAAACTCCGGCACAGAAGTGCATAAAAGTGTGATGGAGTAAGTACCAGGCCATGGAGAGATACCCCGGAGAAGGCAGAGGTGGAATGGACATTTCCTTTATTACTGACTTAAGGCCTGAGTTTTCAAACTTGAATTTTGAAACTTTATATTTTATGTAGAATGATACCCTGATCAAGAAATTGATAAAGTTTGAATAATAAGGCAAAATTTGATAGTCGTGTATTATTAGTGTCCATTTTAGGATCAGAAAAGAAAAAAACAACTACCTCTTAAATAATAACAATAATAAGTAAGTAAAAGTATAAAAGACTGGGTATGGATGTTACCGAGTTGTAGCCGATTGTCTCTAATTGTACATTAGCTGAGTCAGGAATACAAATAAGCTTTCTAAGTAAGGAGACAACACTCCAGCCAATGATTCCCTCTGAAGTACCTTATTATTTTCAGGAAAAGATAAATCCACCACCGCAGGTAAGGATAGGTGTGACAAAAGGAAATGTCCTGGACACAGAATTCACAAATGATATCCACTTCACCCAAATCTAAAATATGATAAAAAATACTTTCATAAAGTCACCCAGGTCCTCACTCCATTTGTGTCGTGCCCCACAAACTTTCCCAAGTTTCTGAAGAACTCTCGAGTTAAAAAAACTCTGAACTGGAGCACTTCTAAAGGAGCCTCAGCAGAAGGGCCACTTTTACTCCTCTTTTGTCTTGCTTTGTCTCCATTTCATGCCTTCTGTCCCCAAACACAGTCTTCACACTGGGGACATACCTTGGATTCAATCATTTGCTAGAACAGCTCACAGAACTGAGGGAAACTCTTACTTATAGTTATCGGTTTATTATATTTTGAAGGATATGATAAAGGATACAGATGAACAGCCAGATGAAGCGATACATAGGGCGACTCTGGGAGTGTCCTGATACATGGGCTACTGTCTCCATGGAGTTGGGGTATGCCAACTTGGAAGCTCTCCAAACTCATATTTTTGGGATTTTTATGGAGACTTCATCACGTAGGCATGATGGATCATTAGCTCAATCTCCATGCCTCTCCTCTTCCTGAATGATGGGTGGTGGGGCTGAAAATTCCAAACTTTTAATCATGGCTTGATCTTTCTGGTGACCAGCCCCCATCCAGGAGCCATCCAGGAGCCCACCCAGAGTCACCTCATTAGAACAAAGACACTCCTATCACCCAGGAAATTCCAAGGGATTTAGGAGCTCTGTGTCAGGAACCAGGGACAGAAACCAATATATATATTTTTTCTATTATTTCATAGAGGGTGTCACTCCTCTAGTCAGGCAACAAGAGATGCAGATTGCACTGGGATGTGCAATCAATGAGGAAAGTCTGGCCACGCAAGACTCCCACATGGCTCTTGGACAACGAAACAAGGATTGCCTTTCCCACGTTCAGCTACTGACTCTTCTGGGAGGACAGCCCCTGCCTCCTCCTGGGGCAACCTTCCTGGGATCAGCTCCCAGCCTTCAGGGGCTCTTGGGGGAGCCCCTCCTTCTCCCCACTCCCTTTTTCTCCAACTCCTCTTCAGTCCATCTACCGTTTTCAAGATTCCTCTTTTCTCCCTTGTCTCCTCAAGTCTCATCTTCCAAATCAAATATCACACAGAGGCTGGCAAAGGGAGTGAAGGAGAGCCCTGCACCAGAAGAAAAGCCTGTGGCACAGGAATGAAGATGCACAGTTGCCAGATCTTTCCACTTATCTAGAGATCCTTGATCTTCCGCTTTGTATGAAACTCCCTGTTTTTAAAAGTTGGCAACTAATTCAAATATTTTTGGTTAGACCTAGAGACTAAATCAATCAAAAAACCCGTTCCCCAGTCCTTGAGGAAGTTTCATTCAAACCTTCATAAGAGGTGAGGAAAATGTTTATGTTCTAGTCTTGCAGGGCAGCCAAATACAGAAGGTGGGGCAAAACTTTTAAATTTCCATATTAAATCAGTTTGATCTTTCAGAACCTGCCAAAATATCATCATCATCGTCATCATCATTATAATTCCACCTTTGCATAGTTCTGACCTTTAGAACATACTTTATTCTAGTGAAGTAAAAAGTAGGACTTTTAGTTGAAAACTAGCAGTTTTAATTCAATAGAAGAAATACCAACACCAAAAAAGTCCACAACCTTGCAGACACTGGCTGAGCACTCCTCCCCTCCTCACTCAAAGCTGTCTCTTTTCTACGCTCGCCAGTGACACAGCCTCCACTGCCTCATTCCCCATCTCACTCCCAAGACCATCTGCTGCTATCATCCCCTCCCTAGGGTTCCCAAAGCACAAGAGTGCCCTTGCTAAGCTGCTTCCTCCTAAATGATTTTCTATCCTCCCCTCTAAGACCTTCCCCTCCTTATCCCTATTCCCACCGCCAGGGATCAGCAAGTAGAGGCTTCCCACCCCTTGCCTGGGATATAAGAAGAGGGTGGCTGAGGGCTGTGCGTTGGTTTTCTAAGTCCCAGAATTATACCAGAACTTTCAGAGTCTTGCTGCAGGGCACATGCCACAAACGCTCCGCCAAAACACACAGATACTCCACCAACGCCCTCCGATCAAGAGACAGACCTCCCTTATCTTTCTGGGTTATTTTCTCAGGTTCTCCCCCAAAAACTCCAGGGCAGCTCTCCAAGGCCCCATGTACCCTATACTATTTCTTTATGCACCCTTTTGCTCCTTTAACAAATATTTCTTTCTGAACCAGGCCAGTCCTGCTCTGCACTCCTGTCCAAGCAGCATCTGCCCCTCCCCAAGCACGGGATAGGGCTCTGAACTAAAGGCTAGAGGCCCCAAGCATCTATGGGTGTTGTGTCAAACCAGCCCAGTCTTGTCTAATCATTTGCAGTGGAAACTTGCTGCTGAAAGTCTTGTGACAGACAGGAGAGAGGCTTGTCTGAGGGTGGCTGCACCTACAGCCACAAAGTGCAGTTGAAAAGGCCTCACTCACTCTGCTATTCCTCAGGAGTCAGCCAGCAGCCCCTGCCAACCCAATCCCAGCACTCAGCCATGATAAGGAAAGGCTTCCAGGTAGCAGCAAGACTCGGCTACCACAGAGTCCTTCCTGGTACCCCCCGCATCCTGCCCAGACTCAACACTGCTGCAGCATTTGGATCCTCCACGGAGTCCCTGGTGAGTGAGTCTCCAGCTCAGCTAGATGGGCAGCCCTTCTTTTGCGAGCCTAAGGCATAAGGAGCACCCCAAATCTCCTCTTCCCAGATCATGGCTGGGGCAGGTGGGCAGTGTGTTGGGGAGCTATTAGATTTGGTAAAGGGAAGGTGCTCTTGGGATACCAAGTAGCCCAGATCCAAAACTAAGACCACCAGGACAGTCTCACCATGGTCTGAATCTTGTGTGGCCACCAATCAATCATTTTCCTCCCATGGGACTCAGATTATTGCAACTGAGTCAGGGTGTCCCTCAACGGTGGACCCTGTGTGTGGTCTTAGCAAGCAGTTGGATTACTGCCCACAGTTGTTTTTGGTGAGTGAGCACTTGATGCCATAGAGGACTCTTCCTCCTCCCACAGATGGCACCACACCTCTATGGGTGCCCAAAACATGTTTCAAAGGAGCCACCCTGCCCAGGCAGGCCTACAGCTGTGGGCAGAGCTAGAGAAGCCCCTGAGGTGACGGGGTGGTAGCAATGGTCCATACCAACTGTGGTCGTACTCCCTAGGGAAGATAGTGTCTTAGAATGGGCTCTAGTCTGACCATCAGCTCTCACATTCACAAGCTTGGCAATCTTAACCACATTTCCTCAGTTTCCCCATCTGTACAGTGGGGCTAATACTAGCAGTTCTCAGCCTCAAAGAACAGCTCACAGGTCTTAGAGCAATTGTAACGCAGCACCACAGAGGGGCATGCCTCTACTTGTCATCCCCATTCCTTTCCTTCCCTTTCTTTGCACTTGAGCCTCTCCTTGCCTAGTCACCCACAGGGGTCCCCAAACCCTCTGAAAGATGGGCTGTTTCCCTCAAGTCAACACTGGCAGAAGGGATTGAGGCACCCAAGACCCAAGAGCACACTCCCTAAAAGTCCTGTGGCCTAAGCAGCAGCCCCCACACCCCAGGAAGCTGTCTAGTCTCCCTGATTTTCCCTGCCCAGGTCTCAAGATTCTGTCAAGAGAAGACAGATTTGAAGGATTATGCCCTTCCCAATGCCAGCTGGTGTCCAGACATGCTGAGCCTGTACCAGGAATTTGTGGAGAAGACCAAGGCTGATGGCTGGATCAAACTGCCCTCCTTCAAGTCCAACAGAGACCACATCCAGGGGCTCAAGCTGCCATCTGGGTTAGCAGTTTCCTCAGGTAAGGCCTGGCCTGAGAGTACCCATTCAGATACACACACCCCAGCCCACAATGGTCAGTTCACCCAGTCCTCGTGTTCAAGACCCTTGGGAAGGAAATTCACAATCTCTCTTCCAGTTCTCAGCCAGAGTTCTTTCTGCTGTCTGACTCCAGCCCTCATGCTGCAGCCCCAGGCAGGTGGATGAGAAGAGATTTTTCTCAGGTCTCTGGCTCCGCTCCACCTATCTGAGGAGAGCACATCCTAGCAGCCCGCCTTTACTCCCAGCTAAGAGTGTTCCCACCAGAGGGGCCAGCCCAGTGGCATAGTGGTTAAGTTTGCCTGCTCCACTTTGGCAGCTCAGGGTTCACAGGTTCAAATCCCAGGTGCAGACCTACACGCTGCTCATCAAGCCACAGCGGCATCCCATATACAAAAAATAGACGAAGATGGGCACGGATGTTAGCTCAGGGCTAATCTTCCTTTGCAAAAAGAGGTAGATTGGCAAAGGATGTTAGCTCAGGGCCAATCTTCCTCACCAAAAAAGAATAAAAAACGAGTGTTTCCACCAGAGAACTGTCAGCTCAGCTCCCTGCTCTTTTGCCTACTCATGGAGTGTTCTTTCCTTGTTGTCAAGCTGTAACCCATGTCCTCCTCCCCCACCCAATAATGGCCTTGGGGTGGGGGTGGGGCCCCTCCCTGAGCACACCATCCCCACTCTGCTAGGCCCAGAGTGGCTCTCTCAAAACACCTGCTGATCAGATTGATAGAGCTTTCCACCTTCAGCTTTCTTTGTGTGTGCGTGTGTGTGTGTGTGTCCGTGTTTTCTTGTCTCTCTCATTCATATATGTGGTCTTCCTGCCCAGTGATGACTGGCGGGTACAGTAGGCACACTACCCTTGGGATTATTGCAAAAGCAAGAGAACCAAAATCATTTTTTTTTCTTTCTGAGGAAGGTTCACCCTGAGCCAACATTTGTTGCCAATCTTCCTCTTTTTGCTTGAGGAAGATTTGCCCTGAGCTAACATCTGTGCCAATCTTCCTCTATTTTGTATGTGGGTCGCCACCACAGCATGGCTACCACCGAGTGGTGTAGGTCCGCACCTGGGAACCAAACCCCGGGCCGCCAAAGCAAAGCACGACAAACTTAACCACTAGGCCACAGGACCGACCCCCAAAATAATTTTTTAAAAGAATTTGGTATCCCTCCAAAAAGAATGTAGTTGTTTTAAGAAAAAAATCAAAACTTTGGTGGACTTTTCTGCACTTATTTTATTGTTTAGTATTATTGTTGTTTTGAATTATATGTGAATTATATGAGTTACATATTTAATTCTCAGTGTTTAAGCTCTGTTAAAGTCTTGAACTGGCCTTGATCCCATCTCCACCCTCAGCCAGGGAACTTCCTGAGTGTTTTTCCCTCCAGATCAAGGACTCCCTGAGCTCAGGGATGTGCCCCCCTCAGACCCAGGGCTCCCTGAGGACAGGGCTCTGCCTCTGCTCTCTGATTGACAGCTCTCTGAGGACAGAGCCTGGATGTCCTCTGGTTCTCTCCTCAACCTTGTGTCTGAGGCAAGGCTCAACCCACGGTGCTAAATGACTGACCCTGCATCCTGACCAGACCCCACACCCTCCACACTCCCTTGTCCAGCTGCAACACTGTCCATCTCTCCCCAGACAAAAGTGACTGGCGCATCTTCACCAGATGCATCCAAGTGGAAGGACAAGGCTACGAATATGTCATCTTTTTCCACCCATCCAAGAAGAAATCTGTCTGTCTTTTCCAACCAGGCCCCTACCTGGAAGGGCCACCAGGGTAAGGCCACAGGCAGGGCCACGGTGAACATCCTTGGCTACTTCCTGGGATTGGCTCAGCAGGTCGATCAGGCACAACCAGGCCCCAGGGCCTCTCTCTAAGGAGCTGGGTCGGGGGTGAGGGGGACTGGGCTTCAGTCCCACAAAATCAGGCCTGGAAGGACATCCTGGGTCATCTTGTCCAGTCCCCATTGTACAGACAAGGGAGAGCCTCCTATTCAAGGTCTAGGGGTTTTCCAGTAAGAAGGGGGTCTTAGAGGCCACTTGGAGAAGAATGTGGTGAACTTGGAAGAGGATAAGATCTGGAATTAGGAGCCAGGCTTCCAGTCCTGCTCTGCTGCTGCTGGCCTTGGGATCCCAAGAAAGCAATTTAACCTCTTTCAGTCTCCTTACCTGAAACCTGGGGCAATCATATCTACCTGCCAGAGCGGCTGAGAGAGATAATACTATGGGCTTACGTGTATGTGCTCATGAGCCATAAAGCACAAGATAGCTATCAGACACCATCTATCCAAACTTCATGTTTTACTCATAGACAAACTGAGGCACACAGAAGTAAGGTAACTTACCCAAGATAGCACAGGCAATCAAGGTCAGATCCAGGACTCTAACCCAAGAGTTGAGACTCTAAGTCCATTGCTCTCTCCACTGTGCTCTGCTGCCTCCAAACTTGGAATAGACCCAGGAAGGAGCTTACACTGGACATAAATACATCCACAAGGGAAATCAGGCTGGCTCTGAACCTCTTGCTTAGGGCTACTGGGCCACCAAGTCCATGGTTGTCTGCTCTCTCCTCCATCCCTGTTCCTGCTTTAGACAGTCACTGAAGGCTATTGGTGGTGCCTGAGTTCCTGCAAGGGAGAGAGAGAAAGGAGGAGGCAGGAGCAGCTTTAGGGCATCAAGGCCTGAGAGGGACTCAATTGTGGTTAAACAGAATTCAGAAAGCTTAATAGATGTCAGCACCTCCACTCTCCACAGATTCAGACTGCAGCCCTTGGTCACCCTGGCCATCCCAAAGGCATCTTCCATGGGGACACTGATTTCCACACTAGTGCATGCAGACACCGAGGGACTAGGTCAGAGCCATATGTAGGCCAGGGATCCCCTCCCTCATGAAGAGGAAAGCCCCAAGAAGGCAGGGATGGGTGTGACTTTTATTTAGGAGCTCATGGAGGTAGAGCAGGAGAGGCAGAGGAGGACCATCTACACTGAGGCCAGTGGATTGAGGGGGTCCCAAGAAGAGATTAGTACTGAATTAGAAAAACCCAGTTCAGTCTATCTCCTGTGTAGGGAAAAACCCAGCTCTTCTCTACTTTGTGTTTCTTCCCTGTGAGTCTCCTTCGTACTCATACAAGAATACTTCACTTCTGACACTTCTGATCACCAAATGTGTGGAGCTTTTTCCCCACACCAAGCAATTCTGTGACACCAGCTGGGTGTCCTACAATTTAACTCAATTCTGACACCATCTGCCTGTAGATAAAGTTAAGGGTTCAGTCCCACTGCACCCCCCCACCCCAACTTCAGATGCCAACTGCAAGTAGTAGGTCCCCAAGTTACCCACAACTTCTGTCCTACTTGGCTACAAATCGGAGGTTCCGATGACACCCTCATCAGTTTCGATTACTTTGCTAGAGAGGCTCACAGAATTCAGGGAAACACTTACATTTACCAGTTTATTAAAGGATGTGATTAAAGGCTACAGATGAACAGACAGATGAAGAGATACATAGGACGAGGTCTGGGAGGGTCCTGAGTGCAGGAGCTTCTGTCCCCATGGAGGTGGAGTGTGTCATCCTCCCGATGTGAATGTGTTCACCACCTGGAAGCTCTCCGAACTCCATACTGCCGGGATTTTTATGGAGGCTTCATCGTGTAGGCATGATGGATCACTAACTCAATCTCCAGCCCCTCTCCTCTTCCTAAAGGGTGGGAGGTGAAAATTTCAAGTTTCTAATCGTGTCTTGGTCTTTCTGGTGACCTCATCCAGGAGCTACCCAGCAGCCTACCCAGAGTCACCTCATTAGAACAAAAGACACTCCTACGATCCAGGAAGTTACAAGGGTTTCAGGAGCCCTGTGTCAGGAATCGGGGCAGAGACTAATATACACATTTTCTATTATCTCGCAAGTACCCCCCAGCCCCTAGGCAGAGAGGAAGGTTAGTTATTGGCTGGCCAAGAGCTACCCTGCAGATTCTATGCACTTGCCAACAGGTCGCCAGCCTGGCCAGTGAGGACAATGAAGGAAGAGCAGTTTTAGGGTTCTTTGGCACCGACTCCTTTTTCCCTCTTTCAAGCAATGTGGGGAGGGAAGTGACTAGAAGTATACCTGAGGTTTTGTAAACATTACCTTATTTAATCTGATGAGATAGTAATTATTTTTTTCACAATTCATAGTGGAAAAACTAGGGCTCTGAAAGGTTTAGCAATGTGTTCAAGAGTGAGTGGCAGAGCAAGGAGTCAAACCAGGTAGGTGTGGTTCCATGGTCCCCAGCTCTTTCCACCAAAGGGAGGGGGAAGCAAGGGTCTGGGAAGCCTGTTGGTGGCAGAAGCAGGAGGGTAACCCATGGTAGTGCAGCAAGGACAGCTGACCCAGTCCATGAAGACTCAGGACCATGCTTTTGAAAACCAGAAACTCAAATCTGTTTTGTGTTATCTGCATTCTAACGTTGGGTGCATTTCTACTTTCCCCAACTCAACCAACAATGCAGTAGCTTTGGCATGAAGGTCAGCTTACACACGTGAGGATGAGAATCTTACTTTAAACAAAGCAAATGTTTGCAGCACCCTGCTGAGGTGGGCTCTCAGCTTCCCCAAGCAGTGCTGCTCAGGAGCCCATCTTGTCAGCACTTTATGGGTCATAAGTGACGGCTCACATTTACCCGACTTGAAAAGATGGGCTCAGCACTGGCCGTAGTGACTGGAAGGTGAGAGCTGGACCAAGCTCATGCCTCAGAGAAAAAGCCAAAAAGTTCAGGGGCTTTTCCATCCCCTGTATGTAGGCACCTTTCCAAATTATGGCAATTGCTGCCAGCAATTAGGCGATGAATCAGAAAAATGTTTTTTCATTAACTCCATCAGAAAAAAATTTTTTTCCTAGTGAAATAAAATAATTGTATCAATGGTGGCTAACGCATGCTGAAGCAACATGGAAGAAAAGCTCAGTTGATTTTGACCTGTTTGATCAGACGGGACCCAGCTCTGTTTCTTTCCTTTCCTGGGGAAATGTAGAGGTGGAGGTGGTTCCACCTTAGGGTCAAGGAAGGCCCAGAGGGACAGTCTGCCCAGCAGCTACAGCCCTGGCCTTGCTGTCTGCCCCCACCCCCAGGTTTGCCCATGGAGGGTCCCTGGCAGCCATGATGGACGAGACCTTTTCTAAAACTGCCTACCTGGCTGGAGAGGGGCTATTGACATTAAGCCTCAACATCAGGTTCAAAAAGTAAGTACAGGTCCTCGGGGCACTGGCCAAAGTCGTGGCCTTGTTCACCACTGAGGGGGTAGCCATCATCGGCAGTTGGGGTGCAGGAGCCCTGTCTGTCACTCTCCCTCCCCAGCCTGCTGCCAGCAGTTCCTCCAGTCCCTGGCCAGAGCACAACTTCTGCTGTCCAACTCTGGGGCCTGGCAGACGGACCCCGAGCCCAGAGCCACTTAAGTCCTGAGGCAGGGTGGGATGAAGAGAAGGATGGGGGGCCGGGAAGGTGAAGGGATGGGCTAAGCTGCCTCCTCTCCCAGCTTGATCCCTGTGGGCTCTCTGGCTGTGCTGAACGTTGACGTGGAAAAGATTGAGGACCAGAAGCTTTACATGTCCTGCATCACCCTGAGCAGGGACCAGCAGACAGTCTATGCCAAGTCCTCAGGTAAAGAGGTCCTCAGCTCAGCCCCAGGCCCTGTCCTGCCACCACCACCCCCAGAGCAAACAGAAGGGAGAACACTAAGGATCCAGTCCCGAGCTGGGGTCCAGCTTTTTAGAGTGGGATTGGGCACCTGCTGTAGACACAGATGAAGTGAGTGAGAACCCACTAGGATTTTTTTTGTCTGTGTATGAGTTGCCCAACCTGTACCATCAGGACAGGATCCAGGCACTAGGTAACTGGATGCAGATGCTCAGAGCGCCCCATCAAGCTCCTGCCACTCGGCTCGCCCTTCTCTTGCAGGTGTTTTCCTGCAGCTGCAGCTGGAAGAGGAGTCGTCACAGTAACAGTCACTATGCCTTCAGGAGGGCCTACTGCTGACTGCCTGCCTGCCTGGGACCCACCACAGAGCAGGGAGGGGTCCCCAGGGAAGTGACTGGTGAAGTGAGGGAGAGCGCAATTTCCTCTTGAGTAAATAAAGTCTCACAGCTGCATTCTCAGCCCAAGACCCTTCTGTAACTGGAAATCAAAATGCTTCCAGGGCCTCCCAAACACCCACCTTCCCATTAAGCACCAAAGGAAGAGATTTACTGAGCATCTGCCAGGTACCAGATGCTGGGGGAAGCTCCAAGCACACCATGATGAAAGGCAGGGCCCTTGGCCTCAAGATGCACAATCGCAGACCAGGAGCAGAGTGCACAGGGTGCCCCTCAGCTCCCCCACCCCACCCTGGCTCCTATTGTGGGTGCAGTGCAGACACAAAGGGAGGAGGGGTCAATTTTACTCTATGAAAGCAATCAGAAAAGGCTTTCTAGAAGAAGCTGTGCTTGAACTGAGTCTCAAAAGTTAAGTGGTGTTCACGAGGCAGGCAGGGGAGAAGAGGATACTCTAGCCAGAGGGAGCAGTAGGAGCAAAGGCACAGAGGGGTGAAAGAGCACAGTGACCTTGGAGAACAGCACGTGTTGAGTGGGGCAGGTGTTCAGGGAAAGAGAAGGTGGGCTGGTGCAGGAGCAGGCCCTGGAAGGCTTCATAAACCCTGCTGGGGAGCTTGGATTCTGTCTTGTAGGGAAGAGAAAGCCTTGAGTAACCTAAAGTTTTATTTTTTAGAAAGATGACTCTGGTGGCAGTAAGTGGTCAGCAAGACCGAAGGAGGGAGTACTGGTGAGGAGACCCCTGCAGGGCTCCAAACTAGAGATAGTAAGGGCCTGACATGAGTCAGAGCCATGAAGACAAGAGCTATGGGAAATGTACAAACAAAAGAGTGCCGGACTTTGCCACTAACTGTATATAGTGGATCTGTGAAGGGAACCTTCGAGGATGATGCCAAGTTTCTGGCTTGGGGATTCCAGGTGGCACCACTGGGAATGCAGAGGAGCAGGTTTGAGGTGGGGGGTAGATAAGGAGCTCGTTTCACACATATTGAGCTTCAAGTGCCCATGATACTTCTACCATATGACGAGCACCAGCAGGAACCTGGATATTGTGATTTGGAGCTCAAGATTGATGAGCCACTGACTCAATTTGTAAGTCATCAATATAAAAACTGACACGGAACCCTCGGGATTGGATTATGCAGTGCAAGTGAGGAGGAGGCAAGGGGAGTGAGAGTGAGGGGAGGGGAGAGAAAGGAGATCAGGGAAAGGGGTCAAAGAGAGAACCTTTGGTCACACTAAGGCTTAAAATTGGAGCAGAGGACCAAAGACCACAAAGGAGGCAGAGAACAAGACAGGAGAGACCATCCTTAAGAGGCCGAGGTCAGTATCAAATGCTAAAGAGAAGGCAAAGCAGATGAGAACTAAAAAGAGGCCTTTGGATTTGACAGTGAGGAAGGTGATAGTCTTCTTTGCCGGGAGGTGGGAGCAAAATCCAGATTATGGTGAATGAAAAAATGAATGAATTTTTTCATTCATTGAAAAAATTGAATCTAGATAATTCTTTCTAGGAATTTTGTTGTTGTTATTGTTATTTAAAGAAAGAGGTTGGAGTATATTTATAAATTTATTTGGAAGGAGCCAGTGTAGAGAGGCTGAAACTCTAGGAGAGAGAGAGATGTCATCCAATTGAACAGGTCTCTGGTCTTAGAGATGGATCAAGAGCACCAGTGGAGACAGAAGTCATGGGAGAGCATCAACGTGACTCTGAGGCCAAAAGGAAAGAGGTGGAGGGTGCAGGACGGGAAGTTGAGGGGATTCACACCAGAGTGCCTAGAATTCCTCAGTGAAATAGGAGGCAAGGCCATCAGTGGGAAAGAGGTCTGGAGGAAGGGCAATGATTTGGATAAGCCACTTGGGGATCAGGAAAACAAATTGATCAAGTACATGTGGGCCAAGGCATGCTGAAGGCCCAGCCACTGGTGGAAAACAGCTATCTGGAGTGGCACCAACCTGGGGTAAGAGGAAGGTGTGAGCTAGCTGGCAAGAGCCAGGGGCGATGGCAGATAAGTCAGGTGAGAACAATGGTAAAGGAGGAAAGAGAACGTCGTGGCTGGTACACATTTCTAAGGAGGAAAGGTTTGATGTGAGGGAGAAGAACACAGACAGAAGGAGGCAATGGCCATCCAGGAGAAGTCTGTACCTCCTCTGAGCCTGCGGAGGAGAGGCGTGGGAAATTGAGCAGCTTGCACCTAAACAGGCAGGATTCCATCAAGGCCAGTAGGTGGAGGGGATGTTCAGGAAGAGGTCAAGGATTAGAGAAGTTTTGCCAAAAAATGAGAGCTCCGAGGGACATATCATAAAGGATTTTATTATTAGGTATGGTATGGTCAAATGCTGAAACAGAAACCTTTACATCTCCATAACTTAACTCATATCTTAAATAGAATATACTTCTCATTCACATAAAGTCCAGTTGCTGGTGTCTAGGTGTCATTCAGGAATCTGGCTGACAAAAGCTCTGCCATATTCACCACATGACTTCCTAAGTCATCTTGGGTAATGACATCCAGTTGCCAGATGAGAGAAGATAGAATCACAAGGGAGGTGTTTTCACGCCAAGCCTTAAAGTGTTGCCATTGGCCAGAACTCAGTTACAAGGCCCCACCAAACTGCAAGGAAGTTGGTTGGAAAATATGGTCTAACTATATGCTGTAGAAGAAAGGGAAATGAGTTTGGTGAGTAGCTAGCAGCTACTTCCTCAGTTTGAGAGGAGGACTGGCCCAAGAAAGAAGTGTCTAAGTCCAAACCCATATCCCAGCAAGTGAAGAATTTGAGTTCAGGCCTAAGCTGAGGTTCCAGGATCTGGGGCTGGGGCTGGGGATTGAGGGGATCAGAGAGTATGAAACTCTTTGTGGCACGGAACAGGGTCACAGAGTGGTGCACAAGTTCAGCAGTGGTAGGGAGGGAGGTAGATATTCTCTTTCCAATAACTAGACCACACACTTCCTAACCCATCAATCTTGAATAACGGGCAAAGGATTGATGGACATGGATTTGAAGGTCCTTGACCCAGTGCCCTTCAAAATCTAGAGACATACTGGAGGCCATCCCCAGAAATCTTGTGGCAACCAACTATCCCCTCCCCAATATACTCAGAAAAATACTATCTCCTTTTGTGCTTTCACAATTGTCGTTGATAATCGATTAAACCCAGAGTCTTAATCATTGTATACCAAAAACCTATTCTCCTTTACTTATGGTCAAGCGGAGCCTAATTTTCATTTAAACACTCCCAAGAGAAGAAGGGAAATATATTCCACCCTTCTTATGCAGTCAAGAAAAGGAAGAAAAACAAAACAGTTGTACTTGAGTTTCCATATTAAAATAGTGCATCCTGGCACTTCTCTGCTGGAGCTAGTTTCCAACAGAAATAGGCACAAGCTGCAACTCTAACAGACATGGAAAGCTCTCAGGCAAGGCCCCACAGCCAGGTTGGGAGTGTCAGCCTTGAGTGGATAAGGCCCAGATGGCAGGCAGGGATCTTGGTAAGGGAAATGTCATCAGCTGCTAGAAGGCTTCTCTAGTGTCTAGGGCTTTGATAGATGCCTCCCCTCTCCCCGAAGGCCAAGTATTGCAGCTTTCTAGGCAGAAACAAGGAGTTGCTCCCTCTACATTTTAAAAACCCATTCTCATGTGTAGTGCATTCATTTGGAATGCAACTACTGCCGAGGTAGTTGGGGTGGAATCCTAGGCCATCCAGGCAGATGTGGCAGCTTATTCTGCTTGAAGCAGAGGATATATGTTCTACAGATGCATAAGTCAAGAGTCAAGAGAAACCAAAGAGTGAATAAGGCAATTGTAAGAACAACCAGTTCAAGAAGGCCGAGGACATCAGTAGCTCATACCAGCTCTTAAAGAAGGGGCCCCTAAGGCCTTCCTGGAACTGCGACTGCAGAGCTAGGTCATTCATCGCAGGTCCTGGGTGAGGAGCCAGAGCTGCAAGACACAGTATATCACCAACCCCGTTGCTTGCCAGAACCCACAGTGAGCATTGGTGGCCAAGTCATGCAGCCTGAGGCTACCACTCAAGGCCACGGGACAGACGGCTAAGTGAGAACTAAAAGTCCAGGGAGTCTTGTAGCAGTTGCCTGAGGAAAGGCTTGTTACCTCTCTGCCTCTTCATCTGGCTTAAGCCCAGGAAAGCACTCTGTACTCCCAGTCCTCCAAGTGTCCTTCTACAATGGCATCAGCAAAGAAAGGAGGTCAGGGCCCTATGTCACCTGTGAAGTTCTCAAGGAGTGACAGCAATGGTGCTGGAAGAGGTGAAGAGGCAGCACTCCGGGCCCTCATTCAAGGGAGCAGCTCTGCTCACATCTGAAGAGCCCTAGGGTACAAGAAAAAACAATGCTCTTTGAGATAGATCTGGGTTTTGGTTTCAACTCTGCTACTGTTTGGCACATCATTTCTTTCTAGGTCTCTTTCTTGCTTTATAAAAATGAGAAGGTAGACAAGGTGACCTCTAAGTTCCTTCCAGGTCTGATATCTTATTGTGCTAATTAAGTTAACTTTTGGCCACCAGGTGTGCCAGTCATTTGCTTGATTGCTCTCAGATCCCCACCCTTCCTCCACTCTGCCTTAGATTGCAGAGGGCTAGCGCCTACAAACTACATTTCCCAGTCTCCTTTGACATCCAGCTTTGAAAGGCTCTGGTGGCAGATTGGAAGGTGGGAAGTAGGGAGAAGTAAGGGTATTTCTCTCCTTCTCTTTGCTTTGGGAGGCAACTCAAGTAGTGGCTGTGGCTCCATGGTTGTAGATCCTGCTACACAGCCCTCACCATCCTATTTGCCTTTTTAACAAGTTCCCTGTGTTAAACTCCCTCTCGTGAACCACCTAGCAAGCACTGTTTTCCTCACCAGACCCTGACTAATACAGCCAGGCTGGAGATTATCCATAGTCAGTTTTCAGTCCCACCACTATACGGCCCAGGTGGTGTGCACTCTTGTATGCCCCCTTAATTTCATCCACCAAGAGAAGGAAGTGGAAGGAGACAGGGAGCAGGAAAGTGAACTGTCAAAAATTGAGCACAATCCTGGACAAATCCAAATCTTTGCCTATTTTTCCCTGCATGCTGCACAACTGAACACAGCTGGAGAAAAAACCACACCACCATGCTGTCCGGTCTCGCTGTAACGTCATGATCGCTATCCTAAAGTGGGCCCGCGACGCGGCCCAGCAGTCATCCTGCAGTTCCCTAGACCACTCACTGTCCTGCTCTCCCAGGTGACTGTTTCATTCCTGGTCATCTCTGCTCAAACCCCAGGACCACCTCCTCCCCCATCATCACTCTCAGCTGATGACCTTGCTTCCTATTTCACTGCGAAATTAGAAGCATTCAGAGAGAACCAGCTCCCACCACCTCCTCTGTCCACCTACTACCTCTACCCAGTTAGTCTCCCTTCTCTCCAGTAATTGTGAGTTAACTGTCCACACAGCAGGCAAAGGACAACCCTAGATCTGTTCTTATGCACGACACCTATTTCTTCTTGTCTACTTGAGAATATTGCTCCAACAATTCTCCTTTCTCTCTTCTGCATTATCAATTTTCCCCTTTCTATTTGATCTTTTCCATCAGCATGCAAACATATCATTATTCTGTCATTTGAAAAATTCTCTTGATTCCATGCCCGCCTCTGGCCACTGCCCCACTTCCCCCCACTCTTTCAGCAAACTCTTCAACAGAGTTGTCTTTGCTCTCTCTCTCCTATTCTTTCTCAAGCCCATTCCAGTCAGGCTTTTGCTCCACCACTCCACCGAAGCTGCTCTTGTCAAAGTCACCAATGACTTTTTTTTTTTTTTTTGGGAAGGAAGATCAGCACTGAGCTAACATCTGATGCCAATCCTCCTCTTTTTGCTGAGGAAGATTGGCCCTGAGCTAACATCCATGCCCATCTTCCTCTACTTTATATGGGACGCCGCCACGGCACAGCTCTACAAGCAGTGCGTTGGTGCGCGCCCGGGATCTGAACCGGCGAACCCCGGGCCGCTGCAGCGGAGCGCGCACACTTAACCGCTTGCGCTACCGGGCCGGCCCCGAGTCACCAATGACTTTGCTGCTACATCCAATGATCGGTTCTCAGTCCTTGTCTTGCCGGACCTTGCCACAATATCTGGCACAGCCGGTTCCTCCTCCTCTCCCCCTCTAAATGTTGGCGCACCCAGGATCAGTCTTTGGATCCTTTCTCTTTTCTACTAACATTTCATCAAGTCTCGTGACTTTAAATTCCATGTACATATCTCTTGGTGCCCACATTTATACTTCCAATCTGGACCTCTCCTCCGAGCTCCAGATTCGTATATCCAGCTGCTTTCTCAACATCTCCAGTTCGATGTCTAATCGGCATCTCAAATTCAACAAATCCAAAACTGAGGTCCTGATATGTCCCCCTCTCAGTAAATGGCAACTCCATTTTTCCAGTTGCTCAGGCCAAAAACCTTGAATCATTCTCTCTCGTTAGGTAAGGATTGATCCATCAGGAAATCCTATTGACTCTATCTTCAGAATATACCCAGAAACTGACTACTGCCACCCTGATCCATGCCCCCATCATCTTGTGCAAAGATTATTTCAATACTGCTTATGCCCTTGTCCCCTTCTTTCTATTCTCAACACAGCCACCAGAGTGACCCTTTTAGTGAATAAGTCATATCTCTCCTCAGGTCATCACAAGTAAAAGCTGAAATTGTCACCGTGACTACAAGCCCCAACAGAGTCCGGCCCTGTTATGTCTCTGACCTCATCTCCCCGTCACTCACTCTGTTCCAGCTACAGTGGACTATTTGCCTCCTTGAACACTCCAGGCATGCTTCTGCCTCAGGGCCTTTGCATTTGCAATTCCTTCTGCCTAGACTGCTTTTCCCTCAGACATCCTCCCTCCCTCCTTCATATCATTACTGAAATGTTACATTCTCAGGGCCAGCCTGGTGGCGTAGTGGTTAAGGTCACGCCTTCCTCTTCAGCTGCCCCAGGTTCAGCGGCTCAGATCCTCCGAGCGAACCTACTCTTAGCTCATCAGGCCATGCTGAGGTGATGTTGCACGTAGAAGGGCTACAACTCTACAACTATGACACACAGCTATGTACTAGGGCTTTGGGGAGAAAGAAAAGAAAAAGAGGAAGATTAGCAACAGATGTTAGCCCAGGGCCAATCTTCCTCAAAAAAAAAAAATATATATATATATATATGTATATACATATACATTTGTAACCTTTGGACACTTTAAAAAGAAAACATGTTACATTCTCAAGGTGGCCATCCCTGACCACTATTTAAAATTACATGCTCTCCTGACACCCTCTGTGATCCTTCCCTACTTTAATTTTTTCCCCAACACTGATTTCCATCTAATAAGCTGCATTTTTTACTAATTTATTTTTGTCTATTGTCTTTCTTCCCCTACTAAAGTATAATCTCCATCTGGCCAGGAAATTTATCTGTTTTCTCCCTGCTCTATCCCTAGAGGCCAGCACAGTGCCCAGCACATAGCAGGTAGTTAATAACTATGGATGAATAAATGAATGAGTGAATGAATGAAGCCACAGAATCAAACTTCTTTGAATCCTACCCTACCTCTGAATTTCTTATTATAGAAGCCAAAAATGTCCTTATTGTCAAGTCAGATTGAGCTTGGGTTTCTGTTTTCTTGTACTTTTGGCAGAAGTCAGGCTAACTGATGCCCACGTGTTATCTCATTTAATCCTCACGCCAACTCTGAGAGTTACGTTTATTTTTCTCCATTTTCCAGATGGGAATAGTGAACCCCAGAGAGATTAAGTTACATGCTAGATGTCACCCAGCTAGTAAATTGCAGAGCCCAGATCCCCGACCCATCTGACTGATGTCAAAGCTGTGAGTTCTTGGCTGCAGCACTCCACGCAGACTACCCTCCCAGAAACCACACCGGGGCTGAGCTGAGTCAGGAGCCACAGGAATGGAGGGTCTAAGGGTCGCCAAGGATCTCCACAAAAGAAACACTGGCTGCCTCAAAACACTCAAGTATCAGATGTCAACATAATCATCTTGTGTGTTTCCTGCATTTCACAATTTTTCTTTTTGTTGCTGTTGTTTGCATGTTTATTGTCTGTCTGTCCCCTTAGACTGCTCCCCATTGTATGTATCCCTGGCACCTAGCACAGTGAATGGATGAACAAACTGATTCGTTCGTACATTCACCGTACAATTCTTCTTAATATCGTTAATTCATTCAATAAATCCTGCTTGAGCACGTGCCTTGTGGTAAACGGTGTCCTTGTGATGCTTACAGTCTAGTAAAACATTAAATACATAATAACAGAAATAAATTACAGAAAAAATAGTGACCAACGCCATAAAGGAAACGTGTGGCGTGCTGTGAAAGTATACAGCAGGAGCCCCTGATTTAGACAGGAGGGTGTCGGTGAGGGCCTCCAGATCTGAAAGATGAAGGGGGAGTGGTCCTAGGAGAGGAAATAGCCTGTGCAAATGTCCTAAGGAGGGAATGAGCTTGATGCCTTTGAGGGACTGAGGGATGGTGAGTGTGCCTGGAGTGCAGTTGATGGTCTCATCTTGTGAGTGGTGGCCTGTGCTGCCTAGGATCTGCCTGCCAAGGATGGAAAGGAAGGGGGAGACATCCTCCATGTTTACAGTTTAACAGGCTTCTGCCAAGGATGGTGGGCACCGGCCAGCCTGACCTTGACCCACTGATGGAACCAGCTCTGTCCCCAGCATCTCTGTGTCCAGAAATCTTGAGCCTGGTCACTTTTCCTTGGGCCAGTGAAATTCAGAGAACTAGTCACTGCAAGTCAGTCTATCTGGGAGCTATTGGGATGGCTCCAGAACAGGACAGTGCAGGCCAAGGCAGGACTCCAGCAAGGAGGGCTTCGCACAAGATGTGGTTTGTGTGGCCATGGCTATGGGCTTGCCCTAGGAGGGAGTCAGTGCAGCACAGAGGGATGCAGGCCACTGCCCACTGATAGCAGTCTCTCTCTTGGCTACAGCCCTCCCCAACTCCCAAGCAGCCCGGGCTCAGAAGAAGAAGCCACGGCACAGGGCTGGCTTGCTGCTAGAAACCTGGAGGAAGGAGTTAAGAAGGCCGGGCTGATGGCCGCGGAGACAGAGCTGTGTTTATCCAGGAAAAGAGGTTGTACGTAGGCAACGGAGGCCCTGGCCAGCTCCTCCCAGAAGGACTGGGCTGGGGGAGAAACCTGGAGAGGAAGCTGCTTCCCTCTGGGCTCTGAACGGCTCCCGGCCAGAGGTCAGGACCCAGCGGCGGCCCCCAGGTGAGGCCTGCACTCTGGGCGCCCGACCGAGCCCGCCGTGGGTTCGGACTCCCAGGCAGACGGTCTGAACATAGCGCTCGGGAGGTGCGGCGCGGGGTGCGGTGAGCGCGCGTCGGTGGATCCTCCCGGAGGCAGCTCTCGGGGTGCCGGAGAATCAAAGCTGCCTTTGTGCTCAAACGTTTCCTAAGGAGAAAAAGGAGTGGAGAAGGGGAGGGACGCCCCAACGGCCGGGCCCCGCCCTGCAGACTCGGGATGCGGTAGGGCTGGGAGCGGGACAATCAGGGCTTACGGAGGGCCGTGAGAGGTGGCCCTGAGAGGTGCGCCCGAGAGGTGCGTCTCCTTGGACCGGCCCTGGGTGCTCGAAGGGCAGCAGCCAGGTTTGCAGCGAGTCCGCTTCTGGCCTGGAGCGACTCGGGAATGCGAGGGAGGAGCAAGAGGAGGCAGGTGGGGCCAGAGCCCCAGTCTGGAGAAGCCTGGCCCGGGGCGCGGGGGGCGGGGCGGGAGGCAGCCGCAGGGCTGCCTGACCTGACTTTGGAGGAGAGCCCGAGTCTTCGGAATGGGCGGAGGAGACGGCGACAAGCCTGCCTAGGGCCGCGGTGTCTCTTCAGGGGGAGCGGGGCATATGAGCGGGGCTCGGGGTCAGGGTCCGTGTTTGTGACCACAGACCTTTAGAGAATGCGAGTGTTGCTCTATTCTCCTAATAGTAGTCTAGGTTTCTAGTGGATGTGTCGAGCTTTCTATCTCCTCTAACTAAAGATGGACTAATCTTTAGGACTAATGGGAGAGGCAGTCTGTGCACTCGGATGTCCGAGGCCTGCATCTGAAAATGTGACTGTCTGGTCCTGGGCTCCCTCCATTTCTCCCTGGGCCCTTTGTTTTTCCTACTCAAATAAGGGCCCGTGCGCCCCGAGGGCCCGGGGAGAAGGGCGCGGCGGCGGATCACCCGCTGTACTTTCGCAGCATCACTCATCTCTGGCTCCTCTTCTCTCCTCGCCCAGCCCAGCTCCGCCCAGGCCTCCACCTGAGAAGCTGGATTTGGACCTTCTCGGCCTCGCGGAATTCGGACTTTCATCACCTCCACCCAACGCATGTGGCTCTTGGAGAAAACTGGCTGCAGGGTGGGGACCGCGGAGCCCGGGGCCCGGTGGGCGCCCTCTGGCCTGTTCCCTAAGCGCCGCGCCCCGTCCCCGCCGGTGCGCGCCTGCCCCAATGTCCTCACCCCGGATCGCATCCCGCAGTTCTTCATCCCGCCTCGGCTCCCGGACCCGGGCGGCGCCGAGACCCCGGGCGGGCGCGACTCGGGCAGGCGCGGCCTCCCCGCGGCCTGCTCGCTGCCGCACCTGGCGGGCCGCGAAGGGTGGGCCTTCCTGCCCGAGAGCCCGCACACGCGCCGGCGCGAGTCCCTGTTCCACTCGCCCCCGCCCGCGCCCGCTGGGGGGCTTCCCCCGGTGCAGTCCCGGCTGCACGTCTCCACCCCGGATCTGCGCCTCTGCCGGGCCCCTGACAGCGACACGGCCTCGTCGCCCGATTCGTCGCCCTTCGGCTCGCCACGGCCAGGCTCCGGCCGGCCCCGACCACCCAGGCCGCACTCGCCGTCGCCGGAAGAGGCGAGCTCGGCGGACACCAGCCCGTACGCGTCGCGCCGCGCGGGCCCCCCCACGCTGCCGCTCTTCCACCTCGACGTCTTGTGCTGCCAGCTGCGGCCGACCAAGGAGAGCGTGCTGCGTCTCGGGCCCCGTGGCGGGCAGCTGCGGCTCTCCGCCGAGTACCAGGCCGGACCCCGGCGTCTGCGGCTGCGCCTGGTCAGTGCCGAGGGCCTGCCCCTGTCGCAGGCTGGCCCCGGGAGCGGCGGTGGCGGCTGCTGCGTGGTGCTGAGGCTGCGGCCGCGCGTCCGGCCGCGGGGCCAGCGGAGCCGCGTGGTCAAATGCAGCGCCAACCCCATCTTCAACGAGGACTTCTTCTTCGACGGGCTCGGCCCGCCAGACCTGGCCGCCCGCACTCTGAGGGCCAAGGTGCTGGAGAGGGGCGCAGGGTTCCGCAGGGACGTGCTGCTGGGGGAGTGTGAGACGCCGCTTATTGCCCTGCTGCCCACCTTGGGTGGGGGGCTAGGTTCAGGGGCCTCCCTGGCGCCTGCCCAGCTCAGCCTGTAGGCTGAGAGACTGTCTCTTCCTCAGGAGGTCTCCACGGGGTCTGCAGTCATTCTTTCCCTCTACCAGACATCTATTTATTTTTGCAAATAAAATGTCTGTTTGTCTCTAGCGGGATCTCGCCCCTTGTTGGCACCCTACACTCTCAGATCTGCAGCCTACCCTCTTCCCTCTGCCCTGCCCATAGGAGGGATGGAAGAAGCTCATTCAGATCCTCTGCCCTGGAGCAGACTTTAAGCAGCAGTTCTAAAACTTGAATGAGCATGAGAACAACCAGACAGAAATCCTGGATGAGCTTGTTAAACACTCAGAATCCTGGGCTCCATCCCCAAGAGACGCTGATGCTAGCTAATTCAGTAGGTCTGAGCTGGGTAGGTCCTAGGGTCCCCGTGCGACAAGGCCCCCACCCCTTCAGGGGGTCCTCCAATCACTGAGTCAGTTAACTGAAACCAACATAAGCCATCTTCCCTTGGGGGTTCCTTGGGGCTGCAAAAGGAAATCAGCACTTCCCCACCCATCTACCTCCCCACTCGCACCTACACCTGTCCTGAAGAGAGATGAAATTTCTATGTCTTGGGAGCGAGTCAGGGGATGTCAGACTGGCACACAGTGCCTGTAGGTGTCTTCTCTCTTGCCTGTCCCATCCGCACTTGTGCCACCCTGGGGGCCAAAGGTGGTGCCAACAGCCAGAGCAGCACTTGGGTACTGAAGGACGGAGATATAATGTCCCAGGGATTGAGATCTTGGGGGAGGAGGGGGTCCTGCCAGAGTGTGAGAGCTGTTCTCAGGGATGCCCAGAAAAGGCCACACCAGTGCGTAGGGGGAGGGTGTGGAAGATGGATAAAAGTAGGTCAGAATGTGTTTACCTCCTACCTGAATGTCCCTGACGTCAGCAGTGACCTTCTTCTCGCTCTCTTCACCTTTCCTGAAGCTGGTTCCTCTTGGCTTAGGCCAGGCTTGGAGAAGGGAAGAGGGGAGGGAGGAAAGGAGGGCGTCACTGCGCTAACTCAGCTTCTTTCCCCCTTCTCCTTGGGCCCTTTCTCATTTATCACGGTGCCCTGAACGAGGGCTGAGCCTGCTAGATCCTGATATCCTCAGTGTGTGTAATAACACACACACACACACACACACACCTCCGTTCAGATTTCTCCCCAGTTCCTTCTCCCTCCCCTGATTAGGCTCCCCCACCCCAGCCCCAGGCCAGGGAAATCTTGCTCCAGATGTCCACCAGGTGGTAGCATTGACCAAATGATAATAAATTCTAACAGCTGCACAATGATTATCACCACGCAGGGAACTGTTCCAACAATTTGTCAAGTGATTTATTCTTCCCAGCAACTCCCGTGAGGGCTAACTACTATTGTTATCCAATGTGACCTTGGGCTTTACTCAACTGGTGAGGAGTAGAACTAGGATTCGAACCCAGAGAGTCTGGCTCCAGAGTTTGCGCTCTTAATCACCTCACTATAATACCCCTCGGATAATATCTCTAGGCAGCCGGCTGCTGCCTCCCCACTAGGTCTCTCTCCCATAACAACATTTGGTGAGCAGCTGGAGTTGATGCCCATTGGAAAGTAGCTGGAAAGAAAGGTAGAGGTTATTAACCTTCATTCACGCTTTCCTTCAACTAATACTTCGGGAGGGCCTACGAGGTGCCAGGCATTGGACGCAGCAGTGATCTAAACAGACGAAGGGATCAGACAAGTTACAAAATGAATAAGTAAAATATTAAAAAATGTTACTCGGTAATATAGAGAAAAATAAAGCAGGAAAGGAGCATAAGAAAGGGGTCAGATAAAGAGAAGGAAGGGAGGGAGGGACAGAGACATCTTTTTCTGTCCACAGTACTTTGCACCAGGTCCTGTGCTTTACCTGTGTTATCCCAGTAAAGTAGGTATTGTTATTCTTATTTTACTGAGAGGTTAAGTAGACTTGCCTGGGGATCAGGCTGGTGGCAGGGAAGGTTTAGGACTGTGGCTCCACCCAGACACACACCTCCCCCACCCCCCACCGCTCAGAGGAGGCTGTGAGCTGGGAATTGAAGTACACTCCACTCAGGAGCAGTTCACTCAAGGTTCACAACTGTGAACTGTCCCGTGATGGGGGCCACAATGTCCCTGAAGGAACTTCCTTGCTAAAGCCACAGAAAGATGCCCTGGGGCAAATAAGGTCCTAAGAAGCCCTCCTGCATGCAGACTGCTCTGACCTCAAAGCATGCTCACAAACAGTCAGGACAGTTATTATTGTCCCCTTTTTACTGATGTGGTAATTGAGGACTAAGAAATGGCAGGCCACATTCTCATCCAAGTCTTTTGGCTCCAAAAATCAGAGCTCCTGATTTTCAACGCTCTTTGCTTCGTCCAAGCCAAAGTGACCACAAATGTTACTTGACAGGGGAGTGGTACAGGCAGGGTCATCATGGAAAGTTCAGGGCCAGGAGCTGGGGTCAATCTCCTGCTGTTCCCTCCACCCACAGTGGCCTTTGTGACGGAAAAGGGGAGGGGTGGAGGCTGTGAGATCTACAGATATTCATAGAGCCTGGGTTGTCTGTTTTTTAATGGTTGAGGGAGGAGGGGGTACAGCCTCTCCCTGAGTCACTCCAGTGGGTTGAGGTCTCCCCAGGAATGGACCTCCTAAGGAGGACCCAAAGAAAGGTGGTCCCCGATCACTATCTCAGGCTTCCAGAGGGGGTGGCCCTTGAAGGATGGGGCTGGGGTGGTGTGTGGCATGCAGGCTGCCCAGGCCTCACATACTTTCCACCTTCACACCCTCAGGACCTCCCTGGAAGGAGAGGCTTACACTGAGCTTTAAGTGGTTTCTGCGGTTTAGGGGGTGGGGAGGAAGGGAAAGAGAAGTTGGTGAGTGCTCCCCAGTTCCAAGCCACCACCACCACCCTCCCCCACCCCAGGCTGCTTGCCCCCTGCGTTGAGATGCCCCAGCCTGATAAGGGAACTTGGGCACGTGGGGGGTGACATGATTCTCCGATCCCTATCAGCCTCTTCCTTGCATAAGAATGTAAGAATGTATTTGAGGAGGAAATAACCACTGCCCTGCTTTGAAAGGAAAGATTCCTCCAGAAAATGGGCTGTGATTGGAGCAGGAGGGAGGAAGGCTAGGCATGAGGGGGGACTTCCCAAAAGGATGACCAAGGTACTTTCTTGCCCTAGGGAGAAGGAACTCCAGCCATCATGCTTAGGGCAGGGAAGGGGTAGAGACAGGAGATGTCTAGGAAGCATGTGACTCACTTAGGCCTAGAGGCCTGGACCCTTCCCCCAGTCACTTCCTCCCCATCCCACAGTGGCACAAAATGGCAAGGCTGGGAGAGGCAGCCATACCTGTGGTATGTGGGGCGGCAGAGCTGTATGGCATGGTGCCAGGGCCACATGCCCATCGCCAGGCACTGTGCATAGCCTCCACTCTGTGCCCACTAGTGGGAGGTCAGGAAGGGCCCTGGGAGACCCAGATTCACAGAGGAAGAAAGGCTTAGAGAGGAGAAGAGATAGAGAGGGAAAAGCTGGAAAGGCATAGAAAACAGAAGAGCCATAGGCAGGGAGAGGCTGGCAGGGAGAGGCACAGACAGAGGCTATGCCGTGGAAGCAAAGCCATTCACCTGTGGGTGTGCGGGGAAGGGGAGAGCAGAACAATCCTACCCCTGCGCTCTCCCACACCCCTGTCCCTCTGCCTCTCGCTGCCTCTACTTGTCTGCCAGAGGGTGCTGAGTGGGGTAGTGCTTCAGAGAACTTGGCTTCTTACTCCAAACCTGCCCAAGGGGCAGAGCTCCAAAACAGACCAACATCCTGTTCTGTGCAGAGAAGTGTACAGAGACGCGTGGGCCACGCATTTACCAAAAGGACACAGGATAATCAGAGGCTCAGAGGCACAGACACACACCCTCAGACTCTCGGTACAAGAAGGTCCCCAAAAGTTTCCACTCCACTGTTCCTCATACTCTATCCCCTCGTTAACCATGCTAGGAGTTGGAAAGTCCTTTTCTACTTCTAACTTTTGTCCCTCTGCAGCCACTGGAGACTCTGGGAGCTACCCAGGAATGGAGGTGCTGATGGTAGCAGAGTGTGAAGCTCCAGGGTCGGGCAGGAGTGGAGGACAGCAAGATGGGAGGGCAGGAGAGGAAAGGGACAGCTGCCTACCCCTGCCATCTCCACGCCAGGTGCCACGTGCAACAGGTGGGGCGAGTGGGCGAGTCACGAGGCTGTGGTGTGGCTGGCTCCTGCTCTGCTGTTTACCAGCTGGGAGCGAGAGCAGGAGGAGGTGCCAGGGAGCCTCCCCACTGCAGCCTGGCCCCTGTCCAGCCGGCCTGTTGGGTAACCAGGAGAGCCAGGCCCAGCTAATCAAACTCTGGGCCGAGGCTGTGGCAGGAGAGAAGTGGCATCCAGGACCTGCAGAAGCCTTATCCCACGGCTCTCCACAGAGCCCTTCCTCGGTGCAGGTTCCAGTGTGGGCCCGCTCAATCTGGGGACTCTCCTTCTCCCAACTAGTGCAGTGTAGCATCTCTCCCCAGCGCTCCCCTCCCATTGCTCCTCTGCCTCCACATGCTCCTCTGGGCCTGCCTGCAGCCCCCAAAAGACAAGGAGGATGCAGAGGCATCAGGGACCCAGGGAATTCTAGGGAAGGGCAGCGAGGGGCAGGAGCTAGGCAGGCAGAGGCCTCAAGGAACCGAGGAACCTCTGGGATGAGTCTGACCTCATCCTGGAGAAGAGGCACAATCTCCCGCAACTAAGTCATCCCTTCCCCATCTCTCCTTTCCCCATCTCCCCTCTTGCTGTCACCTGTCTTGATCAGGTAAAAAGCACATGATTCTGAAGTCACAAAGACCTGGGTTCAAATCACAGCTCGACCACTTACTGTCCTTGGGCAAGTCGTTAATATCTTTGAGCATCCCTTAGCTTTTGTATAAATCTGGAATAATTATGTTTGCCTCATGGTGGATGTTGTGAGGATGAAAGGAAAATCATGGATTTACATAAAGTGCCTGGCAAAGGGCCCAGCACACAGTAGGTGATGGATAAATGCTAGTCCCTTTCCCTCCACCTATCCTTTTTCTCCTCAAGCCCCCAAGCTCTGTTCCTCCAGTCTCTCCCCTTGTCCCCTCCTGATGCCAGGACGCTCTGCCAGCCACTCCTTTCCCCTGCCTGCTGATGGGCCAGGTGCTCCCTCCTCCCCCACTCCCCCACCCCCACCCCAGGCCCTGCTCCCTGCCCTCCTGGGCAGCCAGGGCAGCAAGGACGGCACCAAGGGAGCTGCCCCATGGACAGGGCCCCACAGAGACACCACCGAGCCCCGCAGGGTAAGAGGCCCAAGGGACTGACTGGCAGGAGGTTCAGAGGAGAGGGAGAGATGGGAAGAGACTGGTCAAGAAGTGAGGAGGGGAGGAGCGACAAGAGAAGAGAGAGAGAAGGATTGGCAGGGGAACACAGGCCGGTGAGACAGGTAGCAACTGAAGGAGAAAAGGGAGGAGGAGAACTAGGAAAGGGGGAGATCCAGGAAACACATGGAGGGGAAAGAAAGGGAGAAGTGAAGAGGAAGAGACAGATGGGGCGGGGGCGGAAAGCAGAGCAGAGTCAGGGAAGTGAGATCACTGAAGGGTCGAATGTGGGCAGGCCTCCCAGTTTGAGCGCCCCTGGGAGGAAGTGGGGACACTGCTTTACTGACGTCTCCTGAGAAGGCTCAGCTGGCTGGGCCCCTGGGCAGCAGTGGCTGGAAGGCTGGCCACTCAGCCTCCTGTTCATTCACCAGTGGAGGCACCTGTCCTGCCTTTGAGGGTGACAGACAAAGGATGGGGGGAGGAAGCAACCACACACTATCAGCCGCTCATGCCCACCAGCCTGGCACTTTCCTCCCCACCAGCCCAGGGGCATGGGGTTTCATTTCTGCAGAGAATGTGAGGCACCTGACCGGGGCAGCGGGGACAGAGGGTCAGGCAGTCCTTGGCCCCACTGATGGTTTAACTCAGAGACCCTCTGAGTAGGATCCCATGGCCACATGCTTAGTCAGCTGTGAGCACTGAGAGGAAAGGTGTGAGTTCCAGAGCTGCCAAGCTCCAGGGCCACCTGGTGGAGGAAGAACTCCACTGCCCAGGCAACCCCCACCCCAGGACTGCTCTGAGGTGCAAGGCTGGAGGCCAGAGAGACGCTGCCACGTCAGGGAGGAAGCTGGGTGGGGCCAGGCAGGATCAGCGGGAGGCGGGAGGGGCCGGATGGAGCCACTCCTCTCTGCAGAGTCCACCCCCCACCCACCCCAGCAGATCCCAGGCCTTCAAGTCCACTCACCCCCACGCAGCCCAGTGGAGGAAGCCTGCCAGTGGGGAGCATCTCCTGGGCAGAGGCACAGCGTGTGGGAGGTGGGGAGGGTATCCAGGATTGGACAGCGGAAGGAAAAAAGTAACAAGAGAACAGATTCAGAAGTTAGGGAAATGATAGGGGGCGTAAGGCAGGGCTGCAGGATTTTCTAGATCAAAAGACTGGCCCTGTGCTCTATGAGGAGCTGCTGTGTGGATGTAGGAGATGGACCAAGGTCTGGCAGGGGAAGCCTCTTCCCCAGGGCTCCCTTGGTAGGAGTTTAATAAATACTAACCTTATGAATGAACAACCCCCCAACAATGTTCTAGTTAAGGCCTTCCCCTCAGCAGCTGCCCCTCTGGAGGTCTGTGCATCTCTGTCTGCCCCACGTCAACCCGCTTTGCTCCCTACCGCCTGCTCTCCACCCAGACCGGCCACATAGCAGCTGCAGAAAGGGACTCCTTCCTCTGCAGGCTGATGGGCCAGTAAAGTCAGGGCCCGCGGAAGGCAGAGGTGGTCTGTGCTCACAGCTCTCCCTCCTCTTCCTCCAAACATCCTCACCACCCTACTTTCAACCCCCTCACCTCTGGAATTGCCAGGTGCTTTCAGGCACAAATAAGCAACCGAGAGATTTAACTCCCACAGAGATTTCACTCTGGCTGCAGAATATTTACTGGGCACCTCTAATGGGCCAGGCATTATGGAAGGCTCTGGGAATAACAAGGTGAACAAGACAGAGCAGGCCCTGCCTCCATAGGGCTTACCATCGGGCAGGAAATCTCCCTTCACGGGTAATGGCACGATTATAGCAGTTGGGTGATGCAGTGAGTGCCAGAACACCAAATGCACAGTGCTGAGTGTGTGAGCAAGAGCGCTGGGGAGAGGGGCGTGTACAGCTTCTGCAAGGAAGAGACAGAACTGGAAACTTGAGGGATGAGGAGAAGTTTCCTAGACTGAGGTGGGTGCGAGGGAGGGGCATTCTGGACAGAAGGAATAGCTCAGGGAAGTCCCAGAGGTAGTGAGGAGCCTGGCACTTTTGAGGACCCAGGAAGAAGGCCAGCGTGACTGAAGGGCAGAGAATGAAGAAGAAAGGGGTGCTGTGGAGGGTGGTCCCAACTTCTCCTCAGACGCCAGGTTCTGCTGGGAAGGAGAAGGGTGAGGATGGGGGCCTGTGTGTGGGGGAGTGTTTCTTGGTCCCCTGTGGTCTTCAACTTTTGGCCCTGACACACACTTTTCTCTTTACAGAGCTGCTGGCTGCAAAGAAGACCCACACCTGTGAGTAGAGGGTTGTGGCAAGAACTGGTGCCGGGGTGTGGAGAGATGGAGAGGAATTCAGCAAGGAGTCTGGGAGGTTCACTTAAAAGAAAGGCACAGGTTGCCCAGAGTTGGAGAAGCCAGGCAGAAATGGCCGGGTCTGAAGAGACGCGGAGCCTAGAAAAACAGAGGAGATGGGGAAATGCAGAAAGGAGGGGGAGGGGTGAAGAAACCTCAAGATCAGGGCAATGGAGGAGATAAGGAAGAAGGCTGAAGAGTAAGAGGAACATCGCAAAGAAACAAGGAGAGAACAATTAAAAGGGAGGGATGGGAAAAGCAGAGGAGGGATGCTGGAGAGAGGCACAGGAGCCTGGAGGGGGTGGGGCAGATTGCTGGGCCAGGGAGGGAGGGAGACGGAGAGCTGGGGAGGCAGGGACGGCCTCAGGGACTCAGGGAGCCTGCAACAGGCTTTGTGGTGGCAGAGCCAGGTTCGGTGTTCATCTCTGTGGTTAACACATCCTGAGGTGTGAACAAGCCTGAGGCCAGGCTGTGCAGGGCTGGAGAGCAGGAAAGCCTTCATCTCTGTAGAAAACGCAAGGACGGACACTCTGGGTCGTGGGGCCCTGAAAGACTGAGCCTACAGCATGGGAGAAGGTGTTAGAGCTCAGGAAGGACTTCCCAATGGATACTAGCAAGAAAGCATCTTCTCTAGGGACCTCTCAGCACATCACATCTGCCCTCCTAGTTTGTGGGAGAGGCTACTCCCCCAGAAAATGCACCCACTCCACCTCAGTCTCAAAGCTTATATCCCATCAGGTCCATGCATGCCCTTACCAGCCTGAGGGTACCCTAGGGAAGGCCTCCATAAGCATCGGTCCCTAAACTGATGAGGACCACTCTGGGGCAGGAGAGGCCACCTGCATATCTCCATGGCCCTCCCTTGGATTGCCTACCAGGTCCTCCTGAGAGCTCGCTACTGACCCTCCTGCTGCCAAAATCACTTAGAGCCTCCCTATTTCAAGCAGAGAAATCTCAGAGTGCAACTGCATTGCCCTCCTCCCTGAGCTGGACAGACAGGGTCTGGGGGGCTGTCCAGGATGCTACATCCTCCTGGGTGGGGGGTTGCTTGGCTCAGCACAATCCTAATGGGTGCCTCGCCTGCCCCTAGCCACAGGGCCCCACGGAAATGCTGAGCAGGGCCCTGGGAGGAAAGCGGGTCAAGGAGTGACGCGCGTGTGCTGGGGGAGGGGGAGCCACGGACCATATGTGGGTGGGGGGAGAAGGGGGACTTTTGGAGCAGCTGGAACTGGAAGAGGCTAAACTCCTTTCCTACCCTTAACCCCTTACCACAGAAACCTCGGCCAGGACCACAGCCCTTATCCCCTTCCCAACCCACTGGCCCCGTGCAACCATACCCCCACCCCGTGAGTGTCCTCATGAGAACACAGGCTGACAGACCCTCCCCCAATCCACTACCCAGCTCCTGCAAGCCCCAGCAGGCCAGCAGGGAAATGCCTGTTCTAGGCTGAGGAGCTACTAGCGTCCCAGCAACATCAGAGACCTCTTAGGAGGTTTGGCCCGGAGAATCCAGGAGAGATTAAGCCCTCTCCCAGGCTGAGAGGCTCTGAAAAATGGCTCCGAATTGAGTAAACCCCATGAAGGGAGTCCAAGATGACCCCAAGAAGGGAGGAACCCCCAGACCAAGGGAGGGCTTGATTACTCAGGGGCCCTGAAAAGGGAACTCTCCCAGGCTGAGGTACCCCACAGAGCAGATATGAGGCTGAGAGGGCCTCTGAAATTGATTGCCCCCTCAGAAGGACCCCCAGGCCAAGAAACTCTGTAGAGAGACTCATGCCAGGAGACCACCCAGGCTGAGACACCCTCAAGAGCAGACTTGATCCAGAGAAACCCTCCCGTCCCTCAAGTGGGATCTGGGGCCAAACAGCCTGGGTTTGAATCCTGACTCTACCACTTACCAGCTGTGTGACCTTGGGCAAGCTACTTAACCTCTCTGTGTCTCACTTTCCTCATCTTTGAAAAGGGGATAATGGTACCAATCTCATAAAGTATTTTTTGAGGATTAGATAATCCACATAAAACATTGAGAACCTTTCTCGCTCATAGTAAGCATCATAATCATCATCTTCATCATTGTCTGCATTCCAATTTCAGCAGTTTTGTCCCTGAGGAAATTTCTGTTGGACCAACCCCTCCTGCAGATAGTGAACGGTTGTCTGATGATTATTACTGCTACTCTTCTCATTTATTCCCTAGCCCAGGGCATACACTGTGTCTGCAGGGAGGGCATGAGCATGGTGGGTCATGGGGCAGCCTCCCAGACTGCAACTCACTGGGCACAGCTGTTGGCAGTCTATAGGGTCTCAGGTGGCACAAGCCACCACCCCAGGCAGACATCCTGTGACTTACCTCTAGAAACATCCCTGTCCCTGGAGTCACCTGGCAAAGAGGGTCAGGTTCGGGGGTCCTCAGGGGGAGGGGGAGTAGGAAACGCCCCAGGTTCATGTGAGTTCCATTCCGGCTCCCCAGCCAGAACTACCCTGTTGGTGGAAACAGCTTTTACCGCGTGTGGCTGTCGCATGTGGTTTTGGAATTTTCCAACGCCCCCTGCAATTGGCTGCCCCGCCCCTCACACCCTGCCCCAGGCCCCAATTGGCCACGTGGGGCGCCTGTCATCCTACCCGCTGCACCCCAGGGGGGGTGGGGGGTGGCGGAGTGGGGGGTTGTCACTCGGCCACCTGTGTGGTGCGGAGCTTAAACCCCCCTGCCCAGAAGCATTGGGGGAGAGCTAGGTACAGAGCTGCAGCCTGAGGCTCTGCTGAGAGGGCCTCACCCCGACCCCACTGCCAGCTGCGCCCCATCCCTGGACCACCCCCCGCTGAGAAGGACAGGGAGCCCAGGCAGCAAAGCCCACAGCTCAGTCATGAGAAGTAAGTGAATGGGGCCACCTGGGAGCGGGGGAAGCCTGGATCCTGCCGTCATCCCGGGTCCTCCGGAAAGGAGGGGTGTCTCAGGAACAGTGTGAGCAAAGCTGAGTGCTCTTTCCTGGCAGGGTGGTCCTGGTCAAGGTCAAGTTCTACTGGGAGATGGGTGGAGCGGCTGGGGAGTCTCATTCCCCAGGCCATTCTCTTAGAGCAGCGATAGTAAAGGGACTGTTGAGAAACTCGTCTGTCATGCACTCTGGAAAGGATCTGAGGTACCCAGTCCCCTCGTTTTACAAAGAGACTGAGACCCAGAGAGGCCAAGCGCTTCACCCCAGATCACACAGCTGTAGTAGAAGGAAGTTGGTGATTAACAGGCCGCCTGAACTCACTCTCCCAGCTTTCATGCAGTGTTTCCCTCCATGCCTCCAACCTGCCTCAGAGTGGGGTAAACAAGGAGGCCAGAGTGGTTGCTGTGCCCTCAAGCAGCAGGACAGCTAGAGCAAAGCGAGGTCAGCAGGCAGAGGGGGTCAGAACCTCAGCATCCAGCCTCAGAACTACCAGGCTTTCTGCCCAGTCCAGGGATGTGGGGACCAAGTGGAATCCAGCCAGAGTGCCGTGTGTGTGTGTGTGTGTGTGTGTGTGTGTGTGTGTGTGTGTGTGTGTGAGATCCCCCAGGTTCAGTCACCCATTTGATGAGGGGGATCAAGGCAATAGAGATGGGAGCACAAAGCCTTCAGCTTCACCCCCTTTCTGGCTTGGAGTCATGGGCCAACAGTTGGTGGGCAGACGTCTGGGGTCCCTATGCCTTCTAGCAGAGCAAAGGTGGGCAAATCAGACAGTCCTCATGTTCATGTAAGGGAAGCTAGAGAACCTCTCAGAGCAAGGGCTAAGGAGGAAAACGGAAGCCCCATGCCCCTGAGGCCTGAGACAGCCCCAGCCTCAACCTGGGGTCTTCCCACAAGCCACAGAAGGGAGGTCATTTTGGGTCCTGGAAAGACCCATGGGCTGAGATTCTAAAGATCAGGCTCTGGTGCCACCTCTGTCTCTGACTAGCCATGTAGCCTCAGCAAGTCATTGGGCCCTGATCTCCTCATCTTTGAAACAAGGGAGCTGAATTTAAAAGCAAAACTATGACAAAGCCAACTATGAAGAGGCTCCCAGTTCTGAGGGCCCAGGACCGAGGAGAGAGCCCTAGTCCCCAAGTTAGGCATCCCCAAGGGTAGTGAAGGAAGCTCAGCTCTCCCAAACGGTAGCAGGAGAGGAGGCCAAGGAAAGAGCTCCACTTCCACGGGTGGGATGGACTCTCAAGTGCAGGTGTCTGAGCTGGGGTGGCTCACGAGGGTGAGGAGAAGGGCCAAAACTTCCACAGGAAGAAGGGCCCACTGGGGCTTCGGTTTCCCTTCTAGCTTCTTCCCCTTAGCAGCAAAAGTTGGCAGACTAGTCTTCCCAGAAAATGTCCCAAATCAGCAAATCCACTGGGAGAAGCAATGATTGGGTGTGCTTCAGAGCCTTGCAGAAGGGCAAGAGTCCCCAAAACTGGCCAAGGAAGACACTTGGGCAGCTCTACCTGATACCCCCTCACAGCTCCACCCAGGCTAGTAGGTAGGAGGGGGGTCTCCTCCAATCTGGGGGTCAGTGCCACTGGTCCTGCTCACTTGGACATCTCTAGGTATCTCATAGCCCCAGGTTATCTGACGCACCCTCCTCATGAGTATCAGCCACCACCACACCCTCTGACCACAGCTGGGGCAAGTCAGAGCACTGGGGGCTTGGGGCTGTGACACACCCAAAGACCAAGGGTCAGACACACAAGGAGCAGAAACAGACCAAGAAATAGAGATGCAGAGGCCAAACTCGAAGGACCCAAGATTTACGTCCAGAGGGAGGTATAAACGGAGAAACACCAGGAGGGCCAAAACATTGCAGTGTGAAGCCTAAGACAGAACTGGAGTGCTGAAGATGAAAAGACACATGGACACAGGGCAAAATGGAGAGGAAAGAAGGCCGACAGTCAAGGGGAGACACTGAGTATTGATCAGGTCTAGGAAGGCAAAAAGTGGGAGGCATGGGCTTTATGGAGGTTCTGAAAGGAGGTTCAGGCTCCCTGCCATGGCGACCTGCTGTGAAGCAGAGAGGAAATGTCCCTTAGCCAAAAAGACTCCCCAGCCAGCCAGAGGGAGGGAGGCCCAGTTCTCTCACCCTGAGGGCATGGCCAGTGCGGAGTCAATAGGCATAAGGCCTGGATAAGGAGGTGGGAGGACGAGGGGTCGAGGTGGCTTGGCTGTCTTTGCCGTGCCCTGATCTTTCTCAAGTCTTGTCGTGATAATGAGGAGCAGTGGTCCAGAAAGAAGCCCAAGGCCCTGGGTGTCAGAGATCTCACCCGGAGAGCCAGGGCCATCTGAGAACTTTACAAAGGACCCCCTCCTTCCTTGCATCACTCCTGCACCTTTCTTTGCCTTTTCTTTCCTTTTCTTTTTTTTTTTTTTGTGAGGAAGATCAGCGCTGAGCTAACATCCATGCCAATCCTCCTCTTTTTGCTGAGGAAGACTGGCCCTGGGCTAACATCTGTACCCATCTTCCTCCACTTTATGTGGGACGCTGCCACAGCATGGCCTGACAAGCGGTGCGTCGGTGCGCGCCCAAGATCTGAACCCCAGCCGCCAGCAGCGGAGCACGGGCACTTAACCACTACGCCATGGGGCCGGCCCTGCCTTTTCTTTTCTTCACTTCCCATTCCTAACAGGAATCCCAAACACCCCCAGCCCAAGGCACTCGAAGTTGGAGCATCCCAGCCGGCCCATTGCAGTGAAACATGGGTATTGGTGTTGCCGCCCCTTCCAGAGGCTCTCTCTCCTTCCCCTACCTCCGTGCCCCAACTCAACCAGGGAACAGGGACTTTCCCATGCTAAGAGCTCTCCAAGGAAGGCAGCCCTGGGGTCTCTTCCTGTCCTCCGTGGTAGTCCTGTCTGAGATCTAATCTCCATTCCTCCTGCTGCTGCAACGCTGCCCCTTTCCTGGGACTCTGGGCTCAGAAAGGATGGTGATGTCTATTTCAGGAGAGGGATGGTAACAGGGCAGGTCATCAGGGCCAGAGCCGGGGTCTTTCTGGGTCGCTGGCCTCCTGGAGCAGCAGAGGCCTCTGGAAAGGAGACACAGCCCTGGAGGCAGGGAAGACTGCTGGTTGTGACATCAGGGCTCCCACTCCTCAGAGCTTCCTCCTGGTGATTCATCCCCTCCCCCATTCACTGGTTGTTTTCACTCGCTTCTTTTGTTTCCCCTCCTTTCTCCTGTCCCAGACTGCGGGGGTGGCGGGGGCACCAGGAGGGGGTTTCAGGTGGCTGGCTGTCTTTCGTGGCTTTTCAAAACCCCAGACTCTCCCTCGCCCACCTGAGTTTTAGCTTCACTACTTTCCCAGCCCTTGGATCTGGGTGTATCAGCAGAAAATTCTCGCCATGGGCTGGGAGGAATGTTCGGCAGGTAGAACTGCTTCTCTGCCGACCCCCACCTTCCCCTCCCGCTCATGCTCCCCTGCGGCAGTGCCCACCACCGTGGTTTCCAGCTTTGCAGAAGCTGCGGGAACTGAGAGCTGAGAAAGGAGGGAGGCTGGTGACAGGCTGGGGAACACAGGGGACCCCTGGCTGGAGCTGTGGTCTCTGTGGGGAGAGGCACTGAGAGTTTTGGCTGTGGGGAGAGGGGAGGCCTATGCTAAGAAAAGAGATGCATTCCTCTTTCCCATCACTCCTTCATTTCTGCAGAAAGGCCTGCCAAGACGTGTGAAAACCAGTCCACACCCTAAAGGAGCTGTGGTCTCCAGAGGAGCCCCAAGTCAGGAGCTCTGTTGGGATGAGCAAGCCGTTCCACTTTGGCCTTAGAAGCCTGCCCCTGAGAAATGGGTAAAGGCAGGAGGAGGCTGGCACCACAGAGGAAGAGTTAGAACAGAGGGAATAATGTGTCTCTGGATCTTTATATTAGACATGAGTCCTGGCTTTTTTTCCATGGGTGTCCTCCCTGAGGACATTCTGTTCCGAGCCCACCCCCCTCACTCTACACTTCTCCCTGCAGCCAGGAACATTGTCCCCTATCCCATCCTCCTCAGTGCATTTGGGCATCTTATCCTTACATGGTATATAGCTTAAGGGTCAAAGACACTGGCTCTCAAGTTAGAGAGAGCCAGGTTCAAATGCCAGATCTGCCATTTCTGGCTGTGTAACCTTAGTCAAGCCACTTACTCTCTCCTGGACTCAGTTTTCTCCTCTGTAAAATGGGGACAATACAAGTAGTACCTACTACTTGGGGTTGTTGTGATCATTTAATGAAAAATGTATGTAAAGCCTGGCACAGAGTAAGAATTCAGCCAACGCCTATGTCTACCATTATTATTCCCCCTTAACAATGTCCACTGGAGAAAAAGAGAAAGAGAAGCGAGCGAAGGGAAGAGAAGTCAGAAGGAAAGAGAAGAGCAGAGAAGTTAGCCAGCTCTGACTGACGGAACACCAGGAGGAACAGGGACCCCAGGGTTCCTCTGTCTGCCTCCATTCTCCACCAGGGTGGGGAGTGGTTCTGGGGTTTGAGGGAAGAGAACCCCTTGGGCTGCAGCCCCTCCTTTGCTCCTACCACTTCCTCTCTGTGGCGTAGGGCACCTGGACAGGGCCCAGGGCTGGCTTCCTAAAGTGGCACAGGGCCAGGCTCTGGATGCATTCAAAAAGCGTTATCAATGAATCTCGCAGCTGTGAGAAGGGTGAGATTAGAGGAGGCTGGAGGAGGGGAGGACAGACTACCTTGTCTCTACGGTATTTCCCCACATAGGAAAAGCTCATAGGAAGCTTCCGGGGATCCTTCAATCTCCAAAGCAATCCAGAAGAGATTTATTTTCTTTTCCTAGTACTGTATGAGAATGAGGTTTTAGAGGTCACACTGGATGGCAGGGAAGACACAAGAATGAGCTGCCACCCCACCCTCATCCCCGGGAGGAGCAGCGTGGCACAAAAGCAGGAAAAGGGACTAAATTCTTGCTACTCAGAAGTGTAGCCTGAGGACCAGCAAGCTTGACACCAACCAGGAGCTTGTTCAAACGCAGAATCTGGGCCCCCTCAGACTCCCTGAGAAGGGACCTGCATTTTAACAAGATCCCTGAGTGATCTTGTTTGAGACGCAAAGGGCTGGAGTCATCTGGTCACTAGATGATTTCAGGAGATATTGTGCGCATGTGGGCTTTTCTCTCTCCCTGGAATTAGAGGGCTGCTTCTGATGGGCCTGGGGAGAGAGCTACAGGCGGGAGAGAGCTACAGGGAGCAAGCCAGCGGGTGAGGGAGCGGGCAGACTGTGGGGGCTGCGCTGCAGGGGCTGGCCTAGAGGTTCCTGACCTTTTCTTGGTTCTAGTTCCTGGCACCCGCAGGCCCTTAGGTGGTAAGTTCCTGGCAGACCAGGCTCCCGGGCAAAAGTTTGAGTAATCCTGTGATTACTCAGCTCCCCCTCCCCAATCTGGGTTCCCACCACCTGCTACTCCAGGGCGTGGCTCAGGGGGGAGGTTTTGAAGGTGAGGTATCGAGGTGTTTTTCAGCTCCTGCTCACCCCGCCACCGCCACCTCTGTCAGTCCCCTTCCCGTTCTCTCCCCTCCCTTCCTCCACAAGTCACACTCCTGCGCACCGGTACTTTCTCTTTGAGGTTTCGGGTAGATGGCATTGAAGGGGGTACAGGTGGCAGGGGAAGGAGGGAGGAGTAGGATAAGTGGGCCTGACGGTGCTAACAGGGCAAGGGGTTGGGCACGGGGCCAGGACATGAGTGTGGATTTTCCTGTTTCTGCAGTTGTCTCCCCATCTCTGGGTCTGAGTCTGTTGTCTCCTGGTCCCGAACCTCTTGGTCTCTCTAGCTCAGAGGCTAGAGGGCCTGACCCTCTAGCTTGGAAGCTCTGGCTCTGCATGCCTGCTCACTATATACCTCTGTCTTGGACCATGGTTGGGGAGCACGGGGGAGTGGCTGGCCTTGTGCCTGGGGTCCAAACTCCCCCTAAACACAGGTATTTGTGAAGGGGGTCCATGGCTGGCCACATGATCCTATGCGAAGGGCAAGGTCTTGGTGATACTGTTGTGAGGTTCATAGGGCCCGGGACCAGCTGTGGGTCAGGCATGGGGCAGGGAGATGTGTACGGGTCACCCGTGTGGTCGGCACACACACGCACACGGATGTGGTTCTTGGAGAAGGGAAGAGGCAGGGAGGCCTGTGGTCAACTGCTGGGCTGGACCCCAAGTTCCCACTGTGGCTTGGCCTAATCTCCCTCCCGCTTACTTTTTTGGGTGACCCGTGTTGGTTTCTCCCCTCTCTGGGCTTAGGGCCACCGAGGAGCGAGATACCACAATGTTGGAGGGGAGGGGGTTGAGGCAAGAACAGACTTCTATCATGCCTCAAATGCCCACTGGTTTTCTTTGCCCTCAGCTCTGCTCAATAGCTTCACCCAGCTTCTACATAGAATTCACCTCTTGTACAGTGCTTTCCACAGGGGATATCATTTAACTACTGTACTACCTACAATCATCCCATTGACAGGCAATGGTATTTTCACCCTGATTTTACTGACGGGGAACTGAGGCCTAGAGAATCTAAGTGACTTGACGTGCAGGTGCCCCCACATTTAATTCTGCCCCTTTTCCAGGTACCCAATCCCCTCTTGTTCTCTCTTCCCCTCCATGCATTCCAATCTGTTCTTAATTGAATGGAAAGAATCTGAAAAGCTCACTTGCCCTCTGTCCTGCCTGGTCACAGCTTACTGTGCGGGTGTTGGGCAGGCAAGTGGGGCTGGAGGTGGCAAAGAGAATCGAGTTCTAATGGCGGGATTTCAGACACCCATGGGCCCTGTCCCGCATGAGGAGGCAGCTGCTTATTCTGACTCAGCTCAAGGCTGGCCTGAGAGGGTGATGATTTAAGGATGATGGAAACAATATTTTGGGGAGTGGTGGGCAAGCCGTGGTCACCCTCCCCACCTCATGTGCAGGCCCTCACGTGACCAGGGTCCAGGCCTAGGCCAGAAGCAAGCTCACAGGAATGTGGATTTGTCCTTCAGGCAGGCTGACCCTGGGGGCAGGAGATGGATAGGAGACATGTCAGAGATGAGAAGAGGCCGAGCTCCTGGACCACTTTTTTGGCCTGCTCCACCCCAGGCCTCCTCTCTCAGAGGGGAGGCAGCAGGTCAGCGATGGCAGAGAAGAGACTCGTATGCCCTTGGGAGTGACAAAAACACCTGAAGTAGCAGGGACCCCAACTGTGCCTTCAAAGATGGGCTGGGGGAAGGCCAACTGCTGCTCCCTGAACCTCAGTAGAGAGCTGTGGGCACTGACAGGCACAGGGCAAAGGAGAGGAGATGAACCTGAGGCCAGCAGCCAACCACCGTGAACAGAGGGGGCAGGCACAGGGTACAATGAGCTCAAGGGAGGGGGGCTTCCTAGTGCCCAGGGAACAAACACTAACATACAAATACGCATGTGTGCACACTGGCTCAAGCAGACATGCCCCTTGGCTCACAAATCACATGTGCCTTTCATATGTACACACATAAGCACACCTTCAAACAGGCCGGCTGATGTGTGTACACCTAAAAGTCATACATGTGGAACAGCATAATGGAAAGCTCAGAGGAACTGGGATGTAGACCCAGCTCTGGGGTAAACCAGTGTGTGAACCTAGGCCAACCACCTTACCTCATCTGGCCTCTTCCTTCATCTGTAAAGGAAGGGAAAGCAGTTGAACGAAACAGTCTCTAGTCCCAGCCAGCACTAACATTCATGATTGGTGCACATAGAGTTGGATGCAGCGGCCCTCATACATGCGTAAGCATACACACTCTTACGTGCTGATACACACACACACAGCCACCCTCTCTCTGCTCTGGGTCCAGGGCCTAGGAGCCCTGTTTGACTCTCTCCCTGGCTCTCAGGCATCCAGCAGAGCCGCTTGTTGAGCCCCACTCTTGTGGGCTCCATCTCTGGCTTCCCCCTACCCTCTCTGGGCCCTGCTCTGGGGACCTTGACCCCTTGGCCCCCGGTTTCTGTTGCAGCCCCTGCTTCCCAGAGCCTTCACTGCCCGGCTGAGGATGGCTGGCGTCTCTACCTGGCCCCCAGGGGCCTCCTGCCTGGTGCACCACATCTTCCCACCATGCCCCACACTCTGCCATGAGAGCCAAGCCCCATGGGGGAGGGTAGCACAGAGGAAGCCCCCTGGGCGGGAAGCAGGTGTTGTGAAGCAGTGAGGACTCCTAGGTCCCCAGGCAGGAGGAAGGCAATTGGAGCTTTTCAACTTGAAGGGCTGAGCAGGTGGCCTCTGCAGCTGCTTTTCTGCCCGCATAGAGCTGACACAACTCCCGGCCGCCCCGCGAGAAAAAAAACGGCCTCCAAAGACCCTTTGCTGAGCAGCATTTGGCACATCGCTTCTTCTTCTGTTTTGCAAGAGGGAAATGGCAAGCTGGAGCGGGGTAGGGAAGCAGGGGAAGCACCGTGCCCCTGTGTCTGCCACCTAGGTACATGGGGTAGGATGCAGAAAAGGCTCCTAGCTCATCTCCTGCTCTTTCTCTCTTCCAGCACAAATCGAAGTGATCCCTTGCAAAATCTGTGGGGACAAGTCATCTGGGATCCACTACGGGGTTATCACCTGTGAGGGGTGCAAGGTGAGCGCATGCACGTACAGTCCTTTCAGAGATGGGGAGAAGGGGCCCTGGCCTTGGTTCTGACCCCAGGGATGGTCTCCTGAGCCAGCTAGGGGGCTGCCAGGGGTGCCTTACCTGGGGGGCCCAGCACACAGGAGGGCCTTGTCTTAAGCTAGGGAAGTGATTGCAGGACAAATTGCAATTATGCTAAGAAATGGAGGAGAGAAAACTGACAGGTGGTAGGATCTGGAAAAGCTGGAGCCGGAGCTTGAGAGCTGGAGGCACTCAGGACTAAGCCAGGATCAGTGGCCTTCACCTCCACCTGCTTTCCCCAGGGTTTCTTCCGCCGGAGCCAGCAGTGTAACGTGGCCTACTCCTGCACCCGCCAGCAGAACTGCCCCATTGACCGCACCAGCCGAAACCGATGCCAGCACTGCCGCCTGCAGAAGTGCCTGGCACTGGGCATGTCCCGAGATGGTGAGGCCAAGTGGGAAGCCCCCTGGGGTTTCCCTGGAGTCTCCAGAGGGGCAGCCCAGCCGCTGTGCTAGACCGGGATTAACCTGTAAAAACACCCTTCCAGGGGCCGGCCCGTTGGCACAAGCGGTTAAGTGCGCGTGCTCCGCTGTGGCAGCCCGGGGTTCATCGGTTTGGATCCCGGGCTCACCGACGCACCGCTTTGTCAAGCCATGCTGTGGCGGCGTCCCATATAAAGTGGAGGAAGATGGGCATGGATGTTAGCCCAGGGCCAGTCTTCCTCAGCAAAAAGAGGAGCATTGGCAGATGTTAGCTCAGGGCCGATCTTCCTCA